AGCCTCTTTGTTGGCTGCAGTAAATCCAGAGCTCTGTGGCAGTAGGCATACAGGCTGCTGCTTCGCCGTCTGAGAAAGGACACACAGTTCACTTGGAAATGAGAACAACTGAAAACAGACTTTTGAGAGTTAGCCCATTTTACACATTGACTATGTAATGTAAAAAATATATTAACAGCCCCTGAAGTAAGGCCTGTTGCCCAAGAGTCCCTCTCCCATTGAGTACTTCCCTTGCTGGGCTCACCTGTGCTTTCTCTAGCCTAGTCAATCCTGGTCCCATTCTGCACACCAGCACACCTTCAAGGGGGAAAAGTGGCCCAGCGCAGGATGGTTTAGAGCATGAGGACACTAGCACTCCCTTGGAAACCATAGATGCAGACCTAAAACTCCCTTATGCCATGGGTGACTAACTTGTAGTCCAAACAAGGTCTCGTAAGCATAAACTGTCTTCTAGGGATCAGTAGCATAACAATTTCCTTATGCTTTTTTAATAGAAGACAGATGCTGTCTCAACTTTGTGTGGAGTTCAGTTCAAAGCATTAGATGTGCACCATCATCAGACATACCCATCAGACTGAAGGGGGAGATGTAAGCATGCCTAGGCTTGGCATATTGATTAGCTAGGAGGCAGTGTCAAACTTCAGCACTAAGACTGATGCACACATCTGGATATGCTCAGAAGAAATCCTAGAAACGTCAAATGAAAAAATAAGTTGAGGTACCCACTCAGTGCTGTCAGTGACAGCTGTCAAATGCAGAAGGTGACTGGAGTTAGCCTAAATCCTGATATAGTACCTCTTTATGTGTCCATGTCTGAATCCTTCCTTTCTCACATATATCAGCTGCATTATATTGGTCCATCACTTGCCATCCTGACATTAATGTCTCACGTGATTATTAATTACCCTGAAGTGTTCCTTTAGAAGTAATCTACAACTCCATTTACAAAATTTGCATAAAAAAGAGCAGATGTTTTTACAGGGCTTTCTTCTTTCTAAAAAGGTACCTGACCTCTTTTCAGCATCTTCCTACTAAATTACTTTCCACTTAGTTGCATATAAACTTAGCCATTAATTCCACCAACATATATCTGCACTTCACCTTATACAAATAAGTAATCCCAATGTGAAATCAATCCTTATCTGAGGCAGAGATCATAAACCACAGCCTTAACTGTATATAGCATCACTGAAATCAATAAAGCCATCTGAAATTAAACTAGCAAATGGTCTTGTTCTACATATCTTTAATGTAGACCATTTCAATCTATTGCGAATTACGAGTGATGTAGTGAACGTCTCCTGTATTATACATTGGCTTTCATGTAAGTAAGATATTGCTTACTCCAGTGACTACTAGCAATTAATGAGTTTCTTGACATATTCTCACTGTCATGTCATTTGAAACAGGATAGTTAAAAGAAAAGATGAATTTATCAAATACTAATCAGATCTAACACAAACACAGGAAAAACAAGCTTATATTAATTTTATAAACGTGTCAACAGTTTCATCTCCCTATGACTAAACCCTAAATATAAATATTGCATTAAATCTCCAAGCTTGTTGCATCTGAGAGAAATTACTTAGGGTTCATTACTACAAGTATATACAAGATCCCATTGGTATTACTGTAATATACTGGTTAATTACAGAGCCTACATTTACTCATGGGATGTATCTTTCTTCACATGTATAGAGATTGTTGCCTGTGGTTAAACACACTAGATACAAGCAAATTTCTAAAATAAACAAAACTTATCACTGCAAACTGGGAAGTGTTTCTTGACTGGACAATTTTCCATTTTACAGGTGAGAAAACCAAAGCACAACAGTATCACCAGGCCACCCAGGAAGCCAGTCCTTACTGACAAATACTGAATTAGAAAATCAGAGCATTTAGGGTAGTAGTATAAAGCAAATATTTAAGTCCAAGCCAAACTAGTCTGAAATGACCTATTTCTCCATTTTAGATTTTCTCAATGAAAACATATGTACACCTTTTTGTAGTAAAATGACATATGTTACTGGATATTTTGTACTCTGAGAATGCGAAACTGTACTGTAATGAATCTAACCTCTCTTCAGCTCTGATGCAGAAGTGAGCTCCACTGAACTACCGTCACCACTTGCTTCAGAACAGGGAAATCCCTGGAAGATTTTCATTTTCTGCCTGCCTGTGCCATCTTCTGCTGAGCCTGAGGGAGCTGACAGAATTAGCACAAAGTAGCATGTGGCAGTGAGCCATAAAAAGCACTGCATTTCTGAACAATTACAGCACATTTTTGTTGGTGCCGGGAGACATGAGCCTACAGTCCAAGTGCTTAGCCACTCGAGCAGTGCAATTATGTGCTGGAAATGCACTGCTTGGAACAGTTCCTCTTACAAAATGGAAATTACCAACTAAGATGGGAAATTAGAAAAAAAAAAAGTTTCCTTCTGTCTCATGTTGTTTACTGGAACCTCCTTGTCAACCCTGCTGCTTCTTTCCTTTTGACCGAACGTTTACCCAAATCAAGGCAAATGACTACTCCTGTCTTACCCTTTTTATAGGTATGTTTAAAATGTGTGAAAATATTAACATTACCTTTACACTGCACCACTGTGAATCAGCGTCTGTTATGTCTGCATGCCTCCTTGTATCTTTTCAACAGCACCTTACCTCACAATTATTCCATGCATTTGCAACAGGAAAAATTCTAAGAAGGTATCTCAGCCCTCAGTTCCACACACTTTCTTGCTTGTGTCTTATGCTCTACCCCACAACATAATATATCACAACTGGCTGTGTAGCCACCATTTTGCCAGTATGTTTTCATGACAGATAAGGGATGCAGAAGGCTAGTAGTCCATTGTATATGAGTTACAACTACTGTCTAAAAGCATATATTAATGCAAGTTCTCCTTTCCAAGGGCTGCATTGCCAGAGTTCTATGCTACTTTTGGGAGCAAGTAAATGGCAAAGAATATAGTTCATAGTGAAAATTCCAACTCCAGCAAATGTTGAAAAGGTAGACATTTATGTGTCTCTATCTTTAAATAGAGTAAGCTGTTGGAAATCAAGTTCATATAGGTAAACAATCCACAAAATAGGGGAAAAAACCCACTCATTTGACAACTACATCAATTATAGCTGCAGTAATAAACAAGCACTCAGCTCCATTACAGGAAAGAAGAGTGTATCTACCCTTTATGCTGCCAATTTAGAGCTAATACAATTTCATTATTTTTTCCAGATATTAGCTTGCCATTGAATATCTCAAGCAAAACAAAAGTTTATAGTCAAAAATCATATTCAGACCTCTGTACTCCAGTTCTTCTCAGTAGGACATAAAATCAATGGAAAAAAAAAAAGTGAGAATATAAAAGAAAAAAACAATTTTAACATATAAAAATATAAAAATTCAGAGAAATTGTAGAAAGCAACATTAAAAGGAAACAAGAGGCCATCTGACATATTTCTATGCCTGAACATCTATGTCACCCTTTGAAAGATTCTAGTTCAAGACGTTTGAAATTTACTCTCAGGTCTCTATGTTTTTATAAAGTGATATAAGAGACAGGTATTTGGAGGCAAGGTGATGAAAGGAAGGAGGCTCAGAGACCTGTAAAGGGGAAACTAGGGTCGATGAAAGCAAGACTAAGCAAAAATCTGCAGAATGAAAACCAGCAGAATAATAGCATTTTTTTTAAAAAAAAAGAGGATAAATTAAAAAAACTCCACACTCCTCCACACACATGCATACAAGCAGACAAAAATGTCTTTTCTTGTGTATCTCCTACTGATTCCCTCAGAGGAAAGGAACAAAGTAGTATACAATAAAATGATAAAGCTGAGTAAGACACCACCTGAGAAATTCTATGTAATGTAATTACCATTTCTATAAAATAAATAATTTCTTCTTAAAAGTCAGTCCATGACCACATCTGTCTCCAGAGTTCTGTGTTTTTGGTGTGTCTAGACAAGTAAAAGCATGTGTAATGGCTGGTTCAGAGCTTCTCACATACTGACCAGCATGCCAGAGCTGCCTCTTGCAATGAACAAAGCGAAGTTATAACTTGCTTTCCCTTCCTTAGGACACTATCTTCCATCTTCCTTCTAACTCAGCTGTTGACTTTCAATAAAACTTACAATTCATAGGTTTTGGACATCCAACTCTATTGACAATCAGATGAAACTGGTTAAAAGGTTCAACCAAATATTGCTGACAAGAGCAGGGACAGTGGGGTCGTAGGAAAGAAAGAAAAAGGATAACCGGCATAGGATGCATTTACACAAGAAGCCAGAGTTAAATACATAAGACAACCTTAAGGAAGAAAATTACACCTATCTGATCTTCAATAAGTAGCATCAGGAAAGGCAATCTGGCATTGGAAAACCTTTTCCTGAACTGGAGGAGGAAATCTTTACACAGGGCTTATTCCTGCTCACATTCCAAGAGGTGAAAAGCTGACAGCAATCTCAACCTGAGTAGCAGCTTTAATTCCAGGAGGCCCAAACAGAAACAGAATGAAAACGCATTTATTTCATCTTTAATACATTCTCTTCAGAATACACTTTAGAATTACTTCATATCTAAAACATTGCTGCCCTGTCCATGGCTTTAATACAAAAAAATAATCTGAATGGTCGCAATAATATTCATCTACAATGAGCATAAATTTAATTGATTTAAATAGCAAATGTACATATGTGCTTGCAAATCTTGTTGTTTCAGTTCTCAGACTGAGACATTATATAATGAGAAAATGTGAATTCATTTATCCAATGAACACAGCACAGCAAAACTGCTGTGTATTAGATCTGTAGATTACATGTACAGCATATTAAATTCACTTAGTAGACAGATAATTATGTTTCCATGTAAGAGCCATTACAAATAATAAATAATTAAATATGTGTATGACATGACAAATAATGTGCCAGGATTATGCAGATAATTCATATTTAATTCAGTAGTTGCTTCACTGCTAACAAATAATAATGATTAGACCATTGCATGTTCTCCACCACAATACATTTACTTTATTCAAATTTCTCAAATACATGGATATCTGAACTTTTCTATTCATTTCACCCTAAGGCACTCAAAGCAAGTAATGCATGTTACCAGGTAGACTCTTGAAAATACATCTAAATTATCTCATTTTCTTTCTCATTGAAGTCTTTATCCCGAGGAAGAATCAAAATGTCACTGCTGTACAAGAAATTAAGTTAGTAGAAGCTCTCTCTTCACATACCTCTCTCTGGGCAAGGGATAGGTTTGAAGGTCAGTTCAGTGTTCTCCATCAGTACAAAATCATACCTGCACAGCTGCAGCCTACAAAAGTAGAAAAAGATGTACACAACAAAAAAGTTAACATTAAGAGAAAAATATTTCACTATTTGAGTTAGAGAAACCATAATGATGAATAATAAAAACATATGGTTCCCACATACTGTATCTCATTTGAAGTGCAATCAATCTAATCTTGTTATTATTGAGTACCAGGAATGCCTTATGGGAGAATAGCCCTGAGTGAGGAGTAGGTTCTCCAGCTCATCGACAGGAGTGAAACACGAATAGCATTTTTGTTAGGTGAGGCTTTCATAATCCCTCACCACGTGTGGCTTCTCTGCTTTCTACTAGAAAGCAAGTGTATGCCACACATTCTTGTTCAGTAGAGGTATTAATAAGGTTTGGTTTTTTTTTTACTCCTGTTCTAGTTTTGGTGAAAAAACCCCAAAGGTTGCTGGGCTAAGCAGCTTTGACACATTCACTTTCCCCATCAACTAAGTTTGAATTGACTGACAGTTTCAAAAGCTTTTTGGGAGAACTGACACCTGAAGACATACAAGTTAGGAAAGCTTTCTGGCTTTATGGGTGAGTAGGAATGATTTATCTCACGAGACCAGAGTCTGAAAATTATATGTACCTTTTAACACTCCTACATTCACACACCACCTGTGTGAACAATGAATCAGCCCAGTAGACAATTGTCAGTCATATTCCCCAGAGTCCCACTGCCTCCCACTAGCCTAGATCTGGGGACACTGAGACTCCTATTGTTTTCATCCTTGCACCTGTCCCCTGTTTTTCACCTACTACTTTGTTATATGAATAATTTGAATATTTTTAATCTAGTTTCTAGTTGATTATCCTATATTCAAGCAATTGTTGTAATTATATGTATCTAAATAAGGTAAATATAGTTATAATTACAATAAGCAATTATGTAATTATACCACCCAATAGTGATGTAAAATCTGCATTTAAATTACCTTCACAAGCTGATTCAATACACTATTTTTCATTGCTAGCTAAAAGTACCTAATTGCCTTTATGACTGCCATGTGATGAGGCTCTGCATGAAGCACTTCAGTGGATCCTATATTAAAGCAAATCAAGTGCATCTTACTTTAAAACTAACAAGAGTCTGAGTAACAGGAATGAAAACTCAAAAACCAATAAGGGCTGTTCACTGAAAATTCTCCTTATTTGGTAGACCATTATCCGAAAAAGTCCTGAACACTTGCATGAAATGTATCTTCTGATTTATCATCGCTGAGTTGAGGAAAAAAATTGCAATATGATTTAGAGCCTTGACTATCTCTCATCACCCAATGCTTTTAAATAAAATCATGCCAGTTCACCTGAGAGCTTGAGACTTATGACTTTCAACACATTAATAAAGTCTAATGCATATACATTCTGGGGAGTACTATTTTGATTGCCGAGTGTTCTGTTTCTCCATAAGTCTCTACCACCCATCTCCTCCTCTTTCCCAGTCAATACGAAATAGAGTATTTTAACAAGGTTTCATAATTTTTACAAAGTATCATACTCAATTCCTACTAGACTATTATCATATACCAAATAAAAAAGCCTTAAATATAAAGTATTCTTGCTACTCCTGGATGTTTCTTACTTATTCCATGCAATACATTATTTTCACAAGATGCAAATGTAAAATTTAATTGCTAGTGCTATTGTACAAGTAACTCTGAAGATCTACAAAATACTGCTGACGTATTTAAAACCAGAAATAATTAATTAAAGCTTAGTAACAGCACTTAATTATCAAAAAACGCAGATGATTTCATTTTAAGTGGAGACAAGCATAGACTATATTTTGGTCTTGGAAGGTCTTTACCTTCAGCAACAAGACCAAAAAACCTATTCCAGTCACACAAGTAGCTGAAGTGCTTCATTTCATATCTGAGTGTGAAAAGATGTGGATGGACACATGACTAAAATCAGAGAAGAGCATAATAAAATTTATCTTCTGGAAGAGAACATAACCATGCAGATGTAAGTCCGGGTGGTCTACATAAGTGGTCCTAGAAAACCAGTTGTGACCAGCCAGCAGCAGCAGCCTTGTGTAACAAGCAGCACATGTGACTTCTGCATGTACAAGGGTGATGTGCACTAAATGTTAATGTACAGAGCAGCTCTTCCCCATGATAAATTTGATTCTAGGTAGGATGAGAAGGATATTCATGCATTTAGGGATACGTGATTACAAAAATCAATAGAAGGAAATACACATCCTGAGCAGTTTTGTTGATACACAACTTCGATACATGACAAATACTTACCTTTCTGGATTATTAAGAGATTTCAGCCTCATCTGGAGAATCCTAAGCTTGTATTTTGGGCCTATTAAAGTCTTCGTAGTAAAGGTCAGGGAAATTTTTGATATCTTGTCAAGGTCTTGGTAAAATCCAGTTAGCATTTTGACTCTTTTATATTGCTGAAATGTCGAAGCTTCACTAAAGAAAAATATTATTTATAATCAGGGTTTTGTTAGCTGAGTAATATTCATTATTGCTAAGCATTGTTATTAAAACCAGAAATCTTGCAAGACATTGATTTTGAGCACTGAGAATAAAGACACTTAGAAGTGTATTCAAACCAGTACCATGCAAGGACTCGGGCTAGGTCATAAATGGAGAAGATCATTCCAGTGTGAGGAGCATTTCTTCTGACACTGAGCCATATACAGGGAAAGGAGACACGGCCAAGTCTTAACAACCTCATGATATTTTTTTGACTTACAAATTAATAAGTTAAGAGGTTTAGGAAACTCAGAAAATTAGTCCTATAAAATGATAAAAAAGATTTAGAGACTAAGCACAACATACCTATTCATCACTGATTCTACTATGTTTCCAGCATAATCTGTTATTTTAACCTTAATGAAACCTCTCCTAATGCCTTTATTCCAGGTAGTAATATCCAGTAAGTAGTTATACACTGCAAAAAGAAATAGGAAATAACAAGATTTAATGAATGACCTCAACAGGATATAGTTGTTGCTATCACCATGTTAAAAGTATTCACTGGTTGATGTTAGGAATAGTGACCCTTTACTTACAAGTTACCAAGTCAAAGCAGAATAAGAAGGCTATTGACAAAAATTAGCTTCTACCAAATGGCTATGTCCTGGAGTTAGTGTACCATTTCCTCCAGTTCTTACATGGAAAGGATTTGCATCAGAAAGCTACCATCAGAATTAGCATGAAAAGTTTGACCTGCCTAAGGAAAAACTGCAAAATGATGCCCTAACTGCACCTTCAGGTTTTGGCAAGCTCTGCAAAGAGCAGATATTTGAGCTGTAGTGTAGCAACACCATCATATTACCCACAAAAGTGACATGTCCAGAAACTGCTGCGGTACATTGGCAGGGAATGAGGAGGAACATCATCAGCACGAACTTTATGTATAGGCAAAGTGGGCAGTTAGCTAGGTGAGCAGATTAACCAGGTGGTAAAAGATGAAGTGAGACATTATTCCCATGCCATGCTTGCCCAGCCTGAGCAGGTGCAGCAGCACAGGTCCTCCAGGCACCCTTCCCTCAGAGAAGTCAACCTGCCAAAACCTCTGTGTGGATACTAGAAAAGCTGCATGGGGAAGTTCAAGGAAGAGGAGAGGGATCTGATTGCTTTCCCATGCTTCAGCCTTTCTTCCCTTCCCATGGAGGGCCCATGGCCTCAGGAAAACAGGCTGGGTACCTGGGGCTGGCATCCTCCGTGCACAGGCACAGAGCTGACCTGCTCCACTGTGTCCTCGGAAACCCTGACCTGGCCTTCTACCACACTTCTGTAACCATCACCAATATTGTAACCATGGTAGGGCTACCCAGAGCAAACACAGCTTTACTACTCACCAAGTACGGAAGCCAATTCAAATGTCGTTTTTTTGGGGTTTTTTTCTACGTTACTTTTTAACTTTCTTTCCTAAAAGACCAAGCCCACATGAAAAACTTATCCTGCTCAGATTTACAGTTTCACTTATTTTTAAGACCTTTTGTTTAATTCTATTTCCTCATGTTTTCAGATACCTAAGAATTAAAATACCGCTTTAGTTAATAAATACCCTCTTTTTGAGACTGGCTTAGTAGATTCATTCTTCTTGACTTTGCGTATTTTTCCTTAAATTTATGCTGTCATTACAACATCTCTTAATCCTCTCCAGGTGTGTCCTCCTATGTTTGGTAATTTTCTCTACCTTTTCTCCCTTCTACCACCCCTATCCCAGAACTCTATACATAATCTTTTCCTTCTGCATTGACTCTTTCCATCATAAGGATTCTGACTGGTTGGATTTTTTCTGAATGCCCAGATTTTAACATGTATGAGAGTGAAAACAAAGCCATATTTTTCTGCCAGAAAAATTAATGAAAAGAGAGACCTAGGGGCCTGTACAGCCCTGAAAGCATGGAAGAGCAAAGCCCAAGCAGAGAGGAGCAGGGGAGAACAGTGGTAGCCAGTTTGGGTTGAGCCAAAAGACCACTGGGAACAGTAGTTACTTTATGTAAAATCCATCACATCTTCATTAACCTCTCCTTGGCCCCTTGGAAGAAACAGTGATGTAAGTAAGCATGATTACCACTATAAAAAAAGATATTTTTGGTCACAAAACTTGCCAAGATGATGGAAAAAGCTAATGTGAAAACCCGATTTCACTTGAATTCTCTGTACCCCAAATCAAAGAACCTTGAACATAAGCCATTAGAAGAGCATGTTAATATTTGTTTATGGTGATAAAATCTGATAATAAAACCAGATATTGTATGAAAATCCAAACTGGACCTCTACATGGATAAAGTAGATATCTAAAGTGTTGCAGCTAAAGCCCATGTCATGAGAATTCATTCCCATAGAGTATAACCCTGAAACAGTCAGCTAACTCTTCCCTCCATTGTTTTACTCCTAGAGAGACATGGACTTTTAAAAGCTGGAGTAGCTTTAGTTGATTGTGGAGTGCTCTCCTCCTGAGGTGGAACATAGAGGTGTCTCCTTTTTGTCCCCCACCCAAGAGCAGTCTTGCTTCCCATTTTTGCTCTCTGAATATAGCAGCAATGATCCCATCTAAGCACATTCTCTCAGTCCAGCATTTTCCCTGTCACTTGATTCTCATTTTCTGTTTTTGTTTTTCCTCTTGGCAGTCCATCCCATTACTTTTAAAGCCACATTGTTTTCTCAGTTTGTGTATTGCTTACCCTTCTGCCACATTCTTCTTCCTCCAGTCTGTGAACTGACACTTAGCTCATGGTTTATTGCCAGGTTTTACACAGCAGCTAACAATAACTTTCTACGTTTAACATGCTTTCACTCCAGATCAGCTAACAAAAACCAGTTGAATAACATTTCAAAAAGTTTGTTATGTACATATTCCATCACTCACTGCAGAATGGGTCTTGGTCTGAAGTATCAAAATAAGCTTTCATTGGTGAACTCTTCGAGATTAATGTTTTTTTCCATCTATCAGCATAAAAACCTGAAATCCAAAGATTAAATATTTCATTTCAGACATCTAGCAAAATCATGATACATGTATAATTACACAAAAGAAACTCAGGCAAAGTGACAGATTTGGCTTTAATTTTCTTAAATCTTCTCAGAGAAAGTAAATTGACTTGGAAAATGCAGGAATCTCCTGAGTTTAACAGAATGTAGTATTCAAGTATTTCTTTCTTCTAATATATTAGTATCACTAAAATTGACATAACGTAATAATTGGAAGCTAGTCTAGAGTACTAACTCCAAAAAACAGTGCTTGTGAACTCATGCAGAGGTAATAAAAACAAACCCAAAAAAGCAGCCCACATATTTGCACAGATCAGTTACAGGACAGCTTCAAATTAGGTAAAATTTCTTCCTTTTTTTTTTTTTTTAAATTACAGCAAATATTGTTAAACCCTTTAGTCTATAATTGTGGATATTATTTAATAAAATGTTAGATATTCTGTAAACCTCCTAAGCTTATGGATATAATGTAGAAGAACTTTTGGTTTATACAATTCTATGCTTATTGTCTTTGGGACTTGATAACAGTCCTTGTTTCTAAAATGGCTGATCCTATTATCTCCTTCTTGATTTCTTCACCTAGACTGGACAACCAGGGCTAGTTACAGGCTGCAGAGCTGCCACTGCAAGGCAGGAGACAGAAAAGTCTGCAGTATAAGGATGCTGCTGCTTCTCTCAGTTCCCAGATTCAGCTGCCTGCAATTTCCTCATAGGTTTTATGGTTATTAAAAAAAAAAAAAAAAAAAGGTGGCAGATGACTCGTCAAATATTTCTCCACCTATAGCTCAGTCATTCTATGTAAGTCCATCAGTCATGACTAATAGCTATGCTGGGGAAGTCCTGGAGTCTTCCTCCTTTACTATAAGGCCCTGTTATGATTGGGTTTTATTATTATAAAATAGCATAGAAGTATGTCTATCTATTGTTTTTCTTCAAACCTGATCTATCTAATATAGGGTGCACATCCTAATATAAGGAAATAAAAAAGACAAGGTATAAATTGGAAGTTAACTTCTAATTAAATATTTTTAAAATTTCAGTCTTAAGAGAACCCCACCAAGTAGAAAATGCTCACACTATTCTTTTTTCAAATATCCTCCAGAGCCTCTCTAAAAGCAGTAAACCCCAAAACAACTAAAAACGCCTCCAAATAAAATCTTTATTCCAAAAGAAGAGCCAGAGAAATCATGAAGTTTCCATAAACATTATTACTCTTAAATAAAAAACAGAGGTGCTCTAGGGATGATAAAACACTGTGAAAACCCAAAGTAATGAACTAAGTAGAAGCAGTTTCTCTGTAGAAAGAAGATACCCTGTGAATCCATTTCAGACTGGAAAGCATAATGACAAAAGATTAGGAACGTTCAGCATCCATTTCTAACAGATAACTATAAAGCAGACAAAGCCCTAAAGTTTAAACTACTTTAAAGAGTACGCAGCTCTGCATGTGCTCAATCTCTACAGAACCCTTAACACAATACAACAGATCTCTGGAGTAGCCCCAGAAATATTTCTGGATCTGGATTTCCCAGAAAACCTCAGCCAGCCCAGAGCAGATATCATAATTCTTACCCAGTACTGGACAGGACATTGGCTGGAAAGCTTCACAATCAGCACATTTTCCTCTCTTGTAATCCAAGTAAGAGTCACAAGGATATGTTATTATGTCACACCTTCTTTTCAAAGATGATAAGAAGAGGAAGACAGATCTTTGATGGTCACACTTAAAATAATTAATTCCTTCAGGAAAGAAAAAATTAAATACACAAAGAATATGTAATCCTTTTTCTTCATGAATGAAAAGAGGTTATCAAAATAATACCATTTACCTGAGTCATTTTTAGTTAGCCATGCTCTTATTCTCTGGTTAGTTGACCACCAAGTGTAAAACATGGATGCACACATACAAGAAGAAATTGAGGACTATTTTGAATATTACAGGTACAGAAAAAAGTCTACAGGGTTTTATATATAAGAAATAGTCTGTTAAATCCTAACAAATGTACAGAATTTTTTGTTATAAGGCATGAGTCTGAGTTAAAATTTGCCTTGTTGCATCCAGTGTAGAACATTTTGGCAGAAAAGTTACCATGAGGAACACTTCAGAGATTCTTTACCCCCCTCTATTTTGGGGGGTAAATAAATTCCTTCCTCTCCTAGCAATACAAACTATGAGAACTGTACAGATCAAGATGATCCTGAGTCTTAAGGGATTCTCCTGTACTCAAAGACACACAAGTGGAAGTCCTATGCTTTTGAGCAGCTCTAATTCCTATCAACACTGTGCAGATTAGTAAAAGAAACATAGACAGACATTAACATATCCAAAAAAAGCAAACAAAAACTGTAGGCAGCAACCTGCCTAAGATTTATGGAGGCAGGAGAAGATCATGTCATAAACCTGATTTCATCCTAGAGCCTTCAAAACCTAGTTCATCACTGACAACCAGGAGGAACCTAAGACACAGTGAAGACTTGAAAGCCTTGCCTTCCACATCATATGCAAGTGATTCTGTCCAAATCACTTGGACACAAACATCTTCCCCCATCCCTAGCCATATATAAACACAGAAAAATGATGATCACTATATGCAGATTGCATATATAATATAACAATTCCATCATACCAGTAATAATGGTATGGTGGAATATGTATGCTTATAGGAAGATCTTTATTTAAAAAAAAAAGATGTCAAATGTCTATTATTTCTCATTTGCTGAGTAGGGATGGAAAAGAAAGAATACAATACCCTCAGCTCCCATATTACCACATATGTGCAGTGTCCATTGAATTCACTTTAACCTTTTTTGATTTGATCTTAAACTCTTTTCTCATTTATTGAACACATTTTTATTTACCACCAAATACTGTTTGTGGACAACCAGGCTGATCCATTCCTCCATTTGGATAGAAATCAATGGTTCCTAAAGGTTTCTTGAAACCTAGAGCTAAAGTAAAAACATCATGAATCAAAAAAACATAAACAGAATTATGCAGTCAATTATTTATCATTACATTCATTAAAAAATAACATGGAGGTCTTAAAGAATTTTTTTTTCCAATTATACTGTTCTTTCATTCTGTAAATGGGAGTCATGTTATGAGCTGAAATCTGTGGTTTATTCTTTTTAAGAAAATTATACACATGTAAAATGCTGTACACAAATGTATACAAATTTATGTAAGACTCCTACTGCCACAAAAGAAAAAGCAAAGAACAGAAGCAACTATTCAGTGCTGTAGCTGAGACATTATTTGCACAAAAAAATTTATGACATTGATGTTCTCTCCAGCAACCAAATTTTTTTCCCAATTTAATTTTCATTAGAGTAAATTATTCAATTTTTTGCCCATGACATTGGATTCTGAGCTACACTAATATAAGCAGTATATCAAAGTAGAAAAATCTGTATCTGTCCTATGAAAGACCATGAGCAAAATTTAGCTCTACCTGAACTACCTTCTTTTTTACCACACATTATCTTTATTCACATAATTGGAACATTACAAAAACTGGTATTTTACAGTTTCACATATAAATTTGTGTAGTAAAATGTTAATTTTGAATATTATTAAAGAAACTGATACGAAACTACACGACACATGTGGTAGGTTTGTAAGGTTTACTTACGGATTTTAAAAAAAATTAAACAAGATTATAGCATCGGTGAAGCAGACTTTACAGTGTTCTTCATTTTAACCTTACAATAACATGATTTAGAATTTTAAGCAGTGAATCTGTAGTGTATTCATGTGATACAGCTGAGACTGGCTGTCTCGGAAGGGACTAAGTGATAATCACGTGCTTACAACATCTATGTTCACACATGCTAGCACAGCAGAAGGATGTTTGTGCTAAACTATTTTGCAGATAGCAATACCATAAGTTAATACAATAGGCATGCTTTATTCAATGTGCAGAATTGGTTTTTTCATATTCAGAAGGAATATAGTATAACAAACAAGATATAAATGACAGTTGTGTAATCACTACTTCTGTGTGACACTAAATGGACTCATGACTGGTTATCTACATGTGACTTCAGTTAGCTGTTGGACATTAAAGTTATTTCAATAGTTTCAGGTTCAGACATGAAACTTCACTCAATAACAAGGCTACTCATGTCGAAATGAACAAACCACCCATCAGTGCTTAAGTCATTAAAAAAGTTGAATTTCAATTTCTTGATGAATAGGCATAACAACATACAGTATGATTTCAATAGTATAGAAATTGTTAGAAAGCAACAGCACTGGAATCCATCTGATAACACAAAATATACTTCTGCAGCACTATTTGGATGTTACTGAAATAGCTTATCCTTTCTCTTTTGCTTTCCTGCCTTTCCTTAAGTTGAAATAGAAAAGTTAAGGCTATGTCATTACCATCAGTATCTGAATGGATTACATCAACAAACTGTGCATCAGTATGATCCAGTCTCCCCTCTGGTGGTTCTCGAGTGAACAAAGGGCCCGCTGGATCAAGACCTACATGAAAATAACAGTAGTATTACAAATCCTGGGTAGTATCCAGTAATATTACAAATTCTACAGAATATTACATATTCTACAGATACATACAAGACTGGCATTTCAGCATTATTCATCAATGACTCTTCATTTTCCTGGAATAATAATCAAAACAAAAATGGACACAATTCTCGTTTCCATTCTTCAACTTCCTAAGCAAAGCAATGGTTTCTAACACAAGACTGATCAACCTGTACCTTTGAATTTCTTGGTCTCCCTAACTACTTGTGCTCATCTCCCACTTCCTCAGATAAATTATAAACCAATAGCACTAGGGATCGAATTTGGTGAATTAATTTTGTCCTTTTTCCCCATACCTATTACATACTTCATAAAAACGAAATGCACAACATAACTACTCTCATCACCAGAACACAAGGTGAAGACATCTTGGATGGAGACAATTTCAAACATGCCTCAATCATTTTATCATTCGATGCTGAAATTACTTACAGAAAAACAATTGTTATATACACCTAAGTGAAATACTAATTTTTGACCACATTTGCACCTGAAGGAGGTTTGGAAATTTTATACTCAAACCAAAATTCAACTATGACAAAAGAGATTCCAACTGAGATCCACAAAAAGCGCTTTATATCAAGGAGGAGGAGATCAGGCAAAGGATTTAAAGTACAAACACTGTGTATTCTCATTAATTTTAAGGACAGGTAATTATTGTTGTGCAACCCTGAAGCCTAATCATTTTCAAGATGGTAATTTCTGTCCCTCACAGGGAAGCAAAATTGTTACCTGAGGTTTGCTCTGCTCCTATTTTCTTGACAACAAAAGCATAGACAAAGAGGGGAAAAGAAAAAGCAGCAAAGATGAAAAATATAACTGTCAAGGCAAAATATTTCTACACTTAACTGGCTCCTAATTACATTCTCCCAGACTGAGAGCCAGGGACAGTGTATGACCTTGGATTATCCGAATTTGTATTATGATTTAACGGGCTTTAAGAACTAGTCTATGAAGGTTTTCTCTCAAGGTCAAGCAAGCAAGACCCAAACTACCACAGAGGATCGTGGAATGCCAGGAATACACATGCATAGTACCCCAGGTGACAAAGGTAATTGTTTTAGTCCACTAATAAGTTCTATATTTCTGAAACCTCCAATATCTTTTTCTTTGGGCTTTTTTTTTTTTTTTTTTTACATTTCATTTTCCCAACATCAGTTTGGGCCACTGACTCCACTTGTTTGAAAGAAAAAGTATCAAAACTCACAGAAGAGGTTATGAGCCTTGTGGTTTTGGACTACACAATCTTTGCCTTTATTCATCTATATCTATAATTTTAAGAAGGTGATTGAAACATTTAATGTAATTCCATTTACCTGTGGGCATCTGAGTTTAGAAATTACACAGATCTACTAGCTCTCAGTTATTGTACAGAGAAGACACAGACCTGATAGCCTGGCACTGCAATCAAGTCTGTTGCCAACCAGTACTGCCAACAAACTAGGGAATTGTGTAAAGCAGAAATGAGTATACTTAATGAAAGGAATACAGCTGGAGCCTGTCACATTCTTATAAGATGTCCTGACTTTCAGATTACTGTACGAATAGGGGAGGAGTCTCTAATTCCTTTTCTTAAGGCTGACTACTGGCTCCTCTTATGTTTTGAGAAAAAATTTCTTAAGTACTCTGAAGAGAAGGTTTGGAGCTATGAATCTCAAGGAGAAGTATACCGCTTTCTTTCAGCCTGAAAACAGCTACTCTCTTAAACCCTCCTCCTTCTCCTCTTAGCACCTTTTCTGATAGTCACCCTAGTCAGCTTCCTTCTCAACATGCTAGCTGCAGTGAGTTTTGCTCTTTCACCACAAGAAGTATCTGACGCCTGTGCACTCAAATTAGCACCGTGGATTCCAGCATCTAAAAGTTAATCCTAAATTTTGAGCAGCCCTGAAAGCTGTACTCACATGAGGGTTCACTATATGCACCACTCCTGAAGATGGCAATGCTGACGATGTAGCAAGTATGAGGCAAAATCTGCAGTATCCAATACACAGATTGCACACCTGATTCATGCTCCCTGGACAAGACAGCTCGATGTACTATAACCATGTTCAGACGGCTCAAACTGAAAGTAAAGCCTTGTGCCTGATTCCTGTGGTCTAACCAAGAGCTTTTGAACTTTCCTTCAGAGGGACCTGACTTGCTCCATCAACTAGGCAGAAACTAGGCAGAAACTTAGGTAGCATATAATGATATAACGTAAGTGGCATTTGGATGTAGCATTCAATTTTCATTTGAGAGACTAGAGGTAAACAGGTTGGAAAATTTAAGTTGTAATTTATGTCCTGAAGGCAGACTTTCACAATGTTCTGAACTTCTATCAGGGATACATTTCTCCTTGTGCATGTTACTAAAAAAGTCAGTTCTCATTTGTTGACATTTCTGATTCTAGGAAATGTGACAACTAGGACAAAAATACAAGGTAGATTAGAATATGCGGATTGGGATTAAAAGATTTACCTGTAATTCTACCAAGTTTGCCATTATACTTCTGGCCAACAAAACCAGCTATATGCGCCCCAAGACTAACTCCAATCATATATATAGAGTCAAGAGAAGTTCCATCCACCTATCAGGGAAAAAAAAAACAAAGCCACAACCACACACACAGTTAACAGAACAGACATCAACAGACCGATTTAGTTTTCACTTTTTGTCAATACTCTAAATTGTACCTCTAAATTTTTAACTTGAAAAACAAATGGAAATTACAAAGTTCTTTTCAGTTTGCCATTCTGAACTAGTTAAACAGTGTAGTAATTAAGAAAGTGTTTGACTAGAAAAATGTAAAAAGGAAGCTTGAGTCACATTTCTTCCAAAATGTCACACTAGTTAGAAGGGGAGGAGAGGGAAGAGGAAGACATTTACCAGATACAAGAAAAATGAACCAAAACTATGGAGTAAGAAAAAAAAAAATCTCCCCCTGCCTTATCCTTGCAATAAAATAAATTAAAAACATAATACCATTAACAAAGACTTATTCCATAGACCTGGTGAATAATGCTGCCAAATGCACACCTGCATTCATTTAAAATCTTTAATTATAATAGTTTAATCGTAAAAAGAGTAGTGCAATGCCTTTTTAAAATTTTAATGCTGTATATTATTTGAACATCTCTCACTTCACCTCCCCATTGGTGCACTCACTCTTTCCAGAAGACTTAAAACTTCCAGATGGCTAAAGAAACTGGATGCCCTCTCAGGCATACTTCAGTGAAATGGAAATAAGAACTCAGGTGAAATTAAAGATACTCAATAACTGCATGCAAATTTAGTAAATACTTTGGTAAAGAAATGTCATTTGATATTGTTCACTGGGTTTCTCTTTAGATATATTTTAAATATCCACTCCCACTCAAACTATGCTATTTAAACTTACTCAGAACAGAGATGCAACTCTCTGACTTACCAGCATCTGGTCAACATAGTTCTTCAGTATTTCTGCAACTTTTCTGCAGTTTTCAACAGCAGTTACATAATTCACAGTTGTAGCACCACGATTCCAGTCAACTATGATGAGATTAATATCCTCTGAAGACAGTAAAAGCTCCTTTATGTCACCTAGCCATACTGGTGGTGATCCTGTTGGTCTGAAGCCATGAATAACAAAGACAATTTTCTTGGAGGTATTAAGGTACTCAGATGCAGTAACATTGTGTTCAATGAGTCTCTCAGAACAGTTTGGATTTCCCCTTGTGTATAACAGTAGCTGGACTTGGAGTTCTGTTCCAGACAAAGCATTGCCTATATTAAGATCTGTAAATTCAGGACATTTTTTCACCTCATCTGAAAAAGATTAAAATGTCAGACAGTCATCTGATGAGTTACACCACCTGAAATACCACCTCTTCACTTTTCTTTCCATATTTTTCCACTAAAATGGAATAACTTTCATTTTCTTCACCCCAGACCTTTGGAATGAGGAGCCACAGTTTAAGTAATGACTCTACAGACACCACTGTGCTCCTCTGAACCCTTCAAATACTAAAGTAATTGTTCCCGAACAATATATTTTCTCCATAACAAATACAAATTAGTTGTCAGCATTGACAAGATCCTTTGTTTAACCATCAAATTTAGGTTGTCAGAATTTTTTCACAACTAGTGTGTGTTGTATAAACAGGAAGACCATTGTGGTTGTTTCTTCCTCTTTTGGCCAGGGTGTCAAAGTTGCCAATCCTCAGGCCTTATTGTTTGATCTAGCAATAAGAATCAGTGGCCTGACAGTATGGGATGACCCAGAACCCTTCTCTAGTTTTGGATCACTATAAGGACACGCTTACCAAAGAACAAAGGAAGAAAAAACAAAGGATCTTGTCCTGAGTTTGAAAAAAAAAAAAAAGAACCTGTGAGGTCAATGTACATAATGGCACAAGAAAAATGGGGGTATTTACCATTTTTGTACTCGGACAGTTATGGTATATGAGGTTAAGCTGTAGATCAATCAGGATCAACAGGAGGATGGAGATTTTGAAAAGGGTCTAAAAAGACCTGATTTTTCCCATGTGCTTATCCACATTAAAAGTTAATGCTTTAAAACGTATCCTTTGGCTGCTGAGGTCACATGGTGTGGATAAGTCACTTCAGGGTTCTGGGCACAACACTGATGCCTGCCACAGTTCTGTATGGCATCTTCACCTTCACTATGGTGTTAACTGGCTTATGGCCAAAGAAATCTGGGCCTGCCTCTTGACTCCTAGTGACTATGCTACTTTACACAAGGCTTTTGTCTGATATTGATGGCACCATTCTCAAATTTTCCTGTCAGTAAGAACTTTGTAAAACAAAACTCAGCCAACTTCTAGGAAGCAAAAATAGGAAGAAGAATAGTGCCTACTCAGTTCCTAAAAACTAATAAAAAATATAACCTGAATTTCTCAGAATTTTGGGGTTATAGGAAAGGCAGTTCTAGCTCTTCTTTTCCCAGCAAGCAGCTAGAAGGTAGAAATGAATCTGCAGAGCCCTCACCAGTATAAAAAGCTGTGAAGGGCAAGTGCTGGGGGTTTAAAATGTATCTGAAAAATGTATTTGATACTATAGTGAAGATCTAAACAAAACTAAACAATGTGAATTACAGCACTTAAGATGCAGCAAAGATGTGTTAAAGACACTAACTCACTTAGGGAACTAGACCAATCACCTCTAGGCCTGCGATGACTAAACCAGTTACTTCTGGACTGGACATCAGAAAAAATAATAGATATTTGCAAAGCAGAGCAAGGTTGAAGTTACAGAGTATTAGAAACAGCCTGAAACCTCCTGTTTCAAATTGTCCAAAGTTTCATGCCCATCATCACCTTATCATAGAAGACAATAGCTACAATTATTACATGTGGGAAAAGTCAGAATTACCAGTATTTCAAAATAAATATCAGAGTTTTCCTCATTTAGACACCAAATAATTTAACTTTTAGTGCAATTACTGGACAGGTTATTAACTAACTAGGGATACAGGAAGGCAACTCAGTTTCATTGCTGAGACCTATCCAAGAAGTAGTTCCAAAATCAAGAGCTGTTTGGCTGCAGTTGCCTTGAATTTAATGAAAATAGTATTCAATAACCTGGTAAAATGTCATACATGTGACATGATTCTGAGATGCTAATAGAATGCGTCACATTTAATCTCTAGATTTCATATAATGATATATGACAATAAAACTAGAATAGAAATTCTATTACACAAACATCATATACAAATCTATACAATAACAGCCACTTGATTACACTTTTGCTATTCAGATTCAAAGCTAGAACACGAAACTCTCATTTTTGCCCAATACTGTTCTTAAATCCAAGTTTAATCATTGATCCTTATGTCACTCCTACATTTCTAACACTGAAAAGATCCATGCTAAGATGTTGTAAATGTTGAAGCATTCCTCTGTATCAGATTATGTTTTGATTTCTTATCATTTGATTGGCAGAAATAAGAATGAATTTTTCGGAAGTCAGTGGAATGACAGTGACATAAAACAGAGACACGGTCTGGTTCATGGGAGTGCGAAATCTATCACAAGGAAATTATTTTAACTGACCAAACCTATTTACTAGCTGGGAAATTTCAAAGGGAAACAACTCATTTATGACTGTGAAATGACAGCAATTATTCTTTGAAAAGTAAATAGAGAAAAGAATATTTATTTACTGTGGAATTAGTAAATACTATAAATAGATTTCATACTTTGAATTCTTTAGCGAGGAGTCATTAAGGGAAGTTTTTTCAAACTCCTATTTCTGACTGATTAATGGAAGGAATACCCAGCTGCCCTTCATGCACACTTGTGGGAGTACTCACATACACTTTTCTGTAGAGTCATAACATACAGCTAGGTGTTACACAGTTACATATGCAGTTTGACTCAGTCAATATGTAATTTTAACTTTCCTGTGTACGTTTGTGTTTTATCTATCTTCTGTGATTGAAAAGGGGAAAACCTTAGGTGTATACTGATTTTTTTACAACTAAATTTTACTATTTAAGGCATAACCGGAAAACCTGTCAACCTATCAAAACAGCAATACACAATAAACTTACGTTAATATGTTAAAACTATTTCACAATTACCTCTCTACTTTGTACAAAGTGCACATACCTGCGTGCGTCCCTGTGCAAAGTACAGCCAGAGATAAAGTATCAGGCTTTGTTCTATTTACTTTAAAATGAAAACCTACATCTCAGTTTCAAAGTGATCAAATTCTCCTCACTAGTTGTCTGCTCCATTAGGCAATTCACAAGGTTTAATCTTTTGGCCAATTTAAGTGAATATTCATTTTTAAGGCTTGAATAAAGCTGAGAGACTACATCACAAAGAATAAGCTAATGATTCTTACCTGATTCCACCCAGTATATCAAACAGATGAAGAAACACAATTTCAGCATGTTGAAATGGAGAAAAGCAATATGTAATACCACAGACAAGTGGCAAATCAAGTCCAGTATGCTAAGAGTTCTAACCTAATTGAATGCCACTAATGAAGTAAGTGACACGTAGAGTAGGAAGCAGAGAGCAAAGCCGTATTCAAGCTTCTGCAATTCATGACTCCTCCTATTGAATGACTTCAGAAGGTAAGGTGGTTTCTGGTCTTTAAGGGTTGGGACTCGTTTTTCATCTATTTCCCTCTCTCTTTGGCTATCAGCAGATTTACACGTAAGCAATCTATGTTATATATTACCAATAACCCTGTTACACACGTGGAATTTAGGAAACAGAGTAACTAGAAGTATGTCACATTAGAAACCCATCATGTCTCTTTTTTTAAGTGTGTCACTCAACTGCAGTTAGGCACTGAGATGTGCAAAAGAAACTTAGAACAAAAAGTCATTCTGGTGACAGAAGAATTTTTCTGTCAGCACTTGGAAATAATTCCGAGAACTGTATCTCCATAGATTATTTTTTAACAAAATTATCTTCTGAGTTTTCCCAAGGAGTCATTCTCTAATCTAAATCCAGTGGAGGTCTGTGAAAGCAGTTACATGGCAGAGAGATGGAGCTCAGAGCCCCACAGATCTCACCCAGACACTGACCTGCTGGGTTTTGGGTATGTCACTTAAGTTCATTCCCTCTGTGTCCCCAACTACAAAAAAGATGAAGAAACATTTATTTTTGTGCAGCTTATTTATTTATAAACCAATTAACTGAGTAAATACAAGAGCACAAACTTCAGTTTCTTGGAGTTCACAGTGAAGCAAAGAGGCAGATAAACTGTATTCAAGTGAGAAGTCTGGATGCTGTTTGCCTATATCTGGCCCCCAATTACTTCCACTGCAGGAGAAAGAAAAACATACCATAACCACTCAAATGCGAAGCAGACACATCCCAGAAATGTTTTTTTGCATAGCATATCCTTCACAGTGCTTCTAAACATAAGGTCTAGGTCTCCTTTTCCTTCCACAACATTAAGAGAATGTGTGCGTCTGTTTTCTTACTTAGTTTTACATGATTGGTCTCTTCAGCCGGCTTCAAGATTCCGAGCAGCTCAACAAAGCTGTGCTACACGAGCTTCTGCAGCAGATGGCCTTTGGGAGGTATCTTCAAAGGCTTTTCCATTTTGAATGCAGCAACAAGACAATGCAGTATGTCTACTCATAAAACAATTGACTCAGCTTAACCAGTGACCTTTTATTACTTTTTTGCATCAATTTATCCAGTCACCCTACCCCCAGTAAAGTTCACTAAGGCAGCTCTTGTTACTCCTTTGCACTCCCTCTTCATCTCAAATCTTGGACACTTTGTCCCACTACTATTATAAAAGCACAGCCCTAATGACACTACATATTACTCAGAACAAGTAATGACATAGTGTCAATTTGGCTCTTTCCCCTCCCTGCTTTTTAATATAGATTATTGTTACAACAAAAAACTTAGTGCACCCAAGCAACCACCAGTTAGTCAGACTCAGCATGTATTCAGTATACAGTATGCATTCATATACAAGTTAAAAGCACAGAGAACTCAATGCCACTAGAAACAAATCAGTAATAGCCCTAGTGAAACACCTACCATGTTTATCCAAGAACCAGTCACCTGATGTTAGTGGAAAATCTTACATATGTACCTTTACATGTACCTAATGCTACTAGTTGTGAATAAATTGCTAGCTAGCACTTGTTCTTTTACAAATGAATGCGAAAAGAAAGGATATTTTAAGTTCCCCCTTGAACTGAAAACCAAGCCCAGCTCACATGTAAGTAAAGTACAGTGCCACCCATGTTAATATAAAGACCCATGAAACAGTTTTAAAGCCCTCTGAAATCAGTCTCAGGAAAGGATTCACTTACTAAATCAACTCCCAGAGAGTATGTGGTATCAATCAGGATGTCAGACTCACCTCTGTCGTTATAAGGGGAATTTGTTCACCAACAGTGGCACTTACGCCACTTAGAAATTAATAAATCTTAACTACTGTTACTATTTACACCATAGTTTCTACTGACATCCCACTATCAGGTAAATCCTTCATCATGACTGAGTTTCAGGTACAGTCACAGATGTGAGACACAAAGTTCAGCTACTGCTCATCCCACTTCACTGCATATTGTTCTGTCCACCGCTTTTCTCACACCGCTACACTACTTGCACTGAAATTCAGAGCCTTAGGCAAACCAGCGGAGGATGACAGCACTGCCTCTTCAGGACTTTGACTGTCGCTCACAGTGCTCAGGACCCTCAGACTAGTACTTCCTGAACAAACCCTGATGCTTCTGGGGGAGCCCACAGTCTGCTAGCTATTAAAAACTCCGCAAAACTGGCCAAGTATTCAAGTTTAAAAAAATACATAAAATTACTATGATCAACAGGTGACAGAATGGCATTTTTACAATTCAGTTTACCCCCAAAAGCCTCAGCTAAAAACATTACAGCATGGTTTTCAAGATTAAGATCGAATTCTTACTCAAGACCTGATATCCTGAACTGCAGTCACATGTATTTCCCCTTCTGAGTTTCTCTCTAACCTCAAAGATTTCATAATCCCTTTCTCATAACAATTCTCATTTCTTTTATTAATCAATGCAGTTCTCCAGAAAAATTCCTCTCTAACTGCTAGTTTAAGAGCCTGCTCCCTATCAGGGAAGATGAAATCACACCTTTGCAATCCAACATGTTTATGAATAAAAGCTGTCTAGAAATTACAAAAGGAAAAACCCTGACTGGCTGGAAGAAATGTAAGACTCAATATGTATTCCACACTGAGGCTTGTAATTCCTGTAAATTGCTAATCCCTTTCTAAATAGACTTGACAAGACGGTAAGGCTCCATTATAAAATAATGGGCACTGAGGCAAAGCACACCATATACACTTGAGAAAGAAAAATAATATTTTTCACATTTATGTCATCAGGATGACTTCTGAAAATGTGCTTTGTAAAATAACACTTGAAAAATACACATGGAATGTTAAATGTGTGTATGTGCTTGAAACCTGTTTGCAGCAATCATGCAATAGCAGGTTATAATGCAAGTGTAAGTTTGGTATTACATACAGCTGTATTCACCTGAAGAACGAACGGTCAGCTCACACTGGGATTTGGACTGATCCAGTTTGGGTGTTTCAATGTCTCCAATTTTATTTAACTTATCTGTGGACCCCCTGCTGTGTAACTTGGAGGAGGAAGGATGTGGGTTCCAACATTGCTCAAAAAATATGACAACTATGGCTTTTGCAGATGACTTGGTACTGCTGAGCAGATCATTGGAAGGAATGCAGAAAAATACTGGAATTCTGGAGGTCTGTTGTAATCTAACTGGCCTGAAGAGACAAAGGGAGAAGCACCATGGCTCTTTCATCAAACCTATGGAAAATTCATATACAATCAATGACTGTCTTTCATGGATGATTAACAGCACTCCTCCCAATAGGATTGAACATGGTAGCTCTGAAAAGTACCTGGGCCTAGGTATTGGCCCATGGGCTGGAATATCGACACCACAACTACTGGAAAAAGTGAAGGGGTGGTTACAACGGATTGGGAAGGCCTCACTGAAGCCATTTCAGAAAGCTGAATTCTTGAAAGGATATACTGTTCCATGACTGACTGACTCAGCAGACCGGGCCAATGTAAAAGCTACGTACCTGGAAACTCTTGATTCGGCAAGTTGAGCTTCTGTCAAGGAAAAGTTACACCTACTGGCATGTACACTTGGGATGGTGGCCTGGGTATTACCAGTGTCTCAGGATTGATTGCTAGTGTACCAGCTCAAAGGCTACACAGAACTGAGCAGTTTTCAGAAAAGACAGTAAAGAGTGGTCATTAGGCAAGAAGGCATTGAGACAGAATATGAAAGATTATAGATTGCAGCAAGAGAAGGTAATGACAAAATCCCATCTATTTGGGAACCTAGAGCAGTCATGGTGATTTCAGAAGAAGCAGGCGGTGAGGAACCTGTCTCAGAATGGGAGGTACTCGCTCCAAGTGTCATCTTTTCGAGGCCCTGTAACTGGCAAGAACAGGAATTTGTGAATCGGACCAAGTTATTATCCCAGAGCCATGGAACTTTCAACTTTGAGAAGGATAAAATTAGTAACAACTGGATTGAATATTATAGAGGGATTCCCCACAGAAAGCTCATCACGGCGCTACAGCTAAGAGTTAATGTCTACCCCACAAGAGAATTTTTGGCAAGAGGCAGACAAGAGACTCAGATGAAATCTTGTCAGCATTGTCAGGCATCAAATGAGACCTGCTTCAATATTACTGGGTACCGCCCTGCAGTACAAGATGCTAGGGTTAAGAGACATAACCAACTATATGAAATGGTGGACAAAGCCAAAACCAAAGATTGGGTAGCATTCCAGGATCCACTGCTGAAAGACAAACAAAATGAATTATACAAACCAGATGTGGTATTCGTTAAAGGAGGTCAGGCCCTTGTGGCAGACATCACAGTTGGGTAGGAGAGTAAATCAACATCTCTGGCAGCTGCAGAGAAAATAAATACCAACATTTTAAAGATCAAGCTCAATAACTGACGAATGCCACTACTATTAAATTTATTGGCTTTCCTATAGGAGCACATGGCAAGTGGTGTCAAGGCAACTACAAACTGTTAGCAAAGTTAGGACTGTCCACCTCCTGTCGGGAAAAGGTCACTTGTCATCTGTCAAATTGGGAACTACTTACGTCAGTAGAATTTGTGCTTATACTTGCGAGTCAAGCACAGACTATTTCAAGATCTTAAAGAATTAATGAATTGTAGCTGTATGAAATAATGAATTGTAGATAGACAGAAAGAAATTTAAAGGGAGAGCCAGGCTCCACGGATGCCAAAAGGGTGAGTGAGACATGATAGGGTATTGATAGTATGTAGGGATGACAAGGAACTTGAAGACATGATGCATCATCTATCCTGCTAAGGCACTAATCACCAGTCTTCACCGAGGTGGGAGGGCTACCTTCACTTAAGCCAGAAAAGGAAGATGGATAATTTTATATATGTTCGATAAAGAGCAACCATATTCCATTTCTTAAATCTTGAGAAAGGTGCGACATCCAACACTTCACATGCATATTTTATTAGCAACTACCATGACGCTTTATCGTGCTGGTGACACTTGAGGGTCTTCAAGGTTTCTGCAGCGAGGGTCACCCGGCCCTGCCCAGCGGCGCTGGGCGGCCCGGGCCGAGGGGCACCCCCAGGCCGAGGGGCATCCCGACAGCGCTGCCCCCGACAGACTCCGCCGCCTCCCGCCACCTCTCCCCCGCTCGCCGGCGGTTCCACACGGACGCGGGGCATCCACACTTCTTCCCGAGGTCACGTCACCGGGCAACACACGCTTCCACGGGCAGGCCTGAGGGGGAAGGCTTTCCGCCTTGTTTGCTTGTTTTGGTTTTTTTATCTCCTGGCGTGATCCAGTCAGCCTCTGTCAAGCTAAAAGGTCCTGGTCTCTGACTGGACGGTTTAGCTGACAGCGTGGTGATAAAGTGCTTCTACCAATTCACTGATTCTCCCCAGTCTCAGAATGAACCTTGTTTCCTTCTGGAGAGTTTGCAAAATTAAAGAGTGCAAAAAAAGAGGTGGGCAGAATTATCTGTTCTCTTGGTATTTCATTTGCTAATCAGAACTATTTCTACTCCCCAGTTTTATTCCACTGATTAATCTCATATTTGTCTTGTTAACTAGGCAAGGCTTCAGCATGCTACCCCACTTGCACTGAAAGGCCTTTTTGTTTGGTATATTCTAGCCCTTTGGGTTTTTAGCTGTTCCCATCTCTTCCTAACTTTCAGTTTTTAACTTTTGCCTAAAATTAGCTAAGAAACAGTTCTTTCTTCTTTTTTTTCCCTGTTTATTTTCTATGCAGTATCCCTACCTGTTTCCAATACTAAGCAGTAGTTGGCTGTCTAACTGTAAATATTAGGTTAAAAAAGCTTATCTTACTAGGAGACATGAGTAATGCCATCCAAATTCAGGTACAAGAGTGATAAAAATAAGCAGATGCTCTCAAAACGCAGTTTTGCATGACCCTTCTACATAATCTGCAGCAGTCATCCAACTGCTGACTTATCTGGGTCTTTAAGTCATCCCAATAATACCTACGTAACGTTTTTCCTTATCTTCATCTCGTTCTCACTCAGGTTTCTCTTCTACTGCAACAGCGTATGCTTCTCACTGCAGTATTGTCCTTTTTCGGAAAGAATACAGTTCAATGTTCCTGCTGTGGCATAGTCCTAAAGATGCACTCCTAACCTGTAGCTTTTTCCCCATCAAATTACAAGCAAGTTTCTATTATTACTTCTAAACTATTAATATGTTTATTTGTGAACAGGAAGACTACATATTTAAAAGACTGTGCTTCAAAGGACTTGAGTTTGTTGCTTCTAGTTCTTGAAGAACCAGATCCTTCTCATTAGGCAAATAATAATCAGAAGACTCGATGTATGTTATTTTTTAAAAAACTGCAGTGTAGTACAGAACAACAACAAAAATGCCTTAAGGAGCCAACTCAAGCAGAAATACACATGTTCAAAATCTCACTGAAATCCCTTCTTCAAAAACAAAAAAACAGCAAAACCCAAATGAAACCCCAAACAACTACCTGCAGCAAACTTCAAGATATTTGGAAAGACAAGATCAACTTTTTGAAGATTCTCTGCACATGGCAACATAGGTAGTATCTATTGCTGTGTAGCCTGATCTCCCTTTGCATCAAGTAATAAAAAATGGTACATTCTTTTTGATCCTTTGTGTTTGTATGATTTCCCTACCTCTTACGAGGCTTGGGTGAGTGTGCGTGTTTCATTTTTCAGCAAAAGCATCTTATTTAATTGAGGATTAGTTTATATACAGCTGGCAAAAGCATACAGCAATCAGACAGTATCACAGACGACAGTCCTCAATATTTTCAGTCTGACAACGTGGAGGGTATAATAAGGGAGACGGCTCCACATCATCACTAAATGCTCACAACAGACAAATTGCAGATTTATTGTTTGACGATAATTGTTGAAAATGCAGAAAAGTCAAGTAGATTACTTTCTATGGCTTATTTTCTTCATCTGAGCATATGCTGTGTGTTTATTTTGAATGTTTAACTTTATGCTGTTTAATTGCTGTGAAGCTGCTACAAGTTAACTTGGGTTTACCTGAAGCTGGAGATGACTTCTGAGCGACTTTTATTGAAAAGTACATATTGCATCAGTAGTAGTAGTGGCAGCCAGGACTACCAATGAGTGATAATTTTTGATTCAGAATAATGAATTCTCCATCTACTAGAGTAATTTAGACATACAGTAATTTTCTTTTTACTGATGGATTTTTTTTGTAACTTATGTTCGCTTCATTGCTCATCTGGTTTATTACATCCTCCTAAAGTTAAGTTGTTGCACCCTTAACACTTCTGAGCTGTGGCAGAAGACTGTTGTTGGCCACTTCTTTTCACTCTCCTAAATCAGCCATACAGACGCAGTTTGTTTTGATGAGAAAACTGCTAATTTGGTGACTGATTCTGTCTTGTGTAGAGAAAATTCATCATCTTTGATATCTATTATGAAAATGACAGTTTCATTTCTTTGAAAAGAGACACTTTTCTTTGAAAACAGAGCCAGTATTCATACAATATCACTGATTTGATTTGGTTCTAGAAGTACTATGCAAGGATTAAAATGGTGCACGTAGGCTGAGATAGAACTTTTTAGTGAAGATATTTGAGTCAAAGGGTGTGGTCTGGTGTTTTGTTTTGTTGGTGGGGTTCGGGGGTTTTTGAGGGGGGGTCAGAAACACAGTATGTTATCTCTAATGAGATGATAGGGTCTCTTGATTCCTTGCCACACAGTTCTGATGAGGGTTAGGCAGTATAGAAAATTGTTTTGCGGTGGTTCCAGAAGCGCCACTCACATTTGCTTTCCTGCAGTGTTGATGCTGCCCATTGAGGAATGTCAGCAAAATAGAAGCATGTGAATGGAATAGGTCACTTTTACATAGCTGATATTATCAGTTCACTTAGTTATGCTAGCTGTGAAAAAAACCTCTGTTATAATTGTACTAGCAGCTGTACATGCATAAGGTAACTTTTGCTATGGAGTCAGTAACTGTCTTCCACCTTGCAGCAGCTATCAATTATATTTTTAAAATAATAAAAAAATCTATATTGAGGACTAAACATCGCCCGTGGACTGATGCTTGGTTTCCTTTTAATGTTTGTAGAGATGATTTTTGTTTGCAGAATTCTCAGAAGCTTGGGGAATGTGGAGAGTGATTTTCAAAATTAAGTAGAGATTCTTATACTGAGAAATTTAGACTGTTTCTGACTATGGCAAAATATACTTCATTATGAAATACTCAGAGGAGAATGAAGTGTCAATCTCTATTACTTTCTGTGAGAAAATAAGACAAATTTCTTTCAGGCTGGACCATTAACCAAAGTGACGATTTGTAAGGACAAAGAAGGAAAACCTAAGTCTTTCGGATTTGTCTGCTTTAAGCATAAAGAATCAGTGCCTTATGCAATAGCTCTACTGAATGGAATCCGTTTGTATGGAAGACCAGTTAAAGTGCACTATCGGTTTGGTACGTTTAGTAGTCTTAATGATTAAGTCTTTGTAAATGTTTAATTATTTTTTTAATTACCGTTCTTGAATCCTACAGTCGAATCCTACAAAGATAACGATTTATAGTTGGAACAAATTACAGGGTTTTTTTAGGAAACAAAAACTTCTTGTGGCTTTTGTATAGGGAAAGATTCGGTCTTTGTATTTTTTGTTTACTAAGAGAATACAGTAGCTTAGTTCAGAACGGCATAACTTGCAAGCCAGCTCGGACCACACAGTGGAAAACATAGCGACACAGGTTTTCATGCCAGATTACATTTAGGAATCAGGCTGTGACTTGCAGTCTGGCAGGAAAAGTTGATTCAGTAAGTGCCCCAACTATCAAGCTGTTTGATAGTTTTTATACTAAAGCCACAGTTATCAGAGCTGTTGTTTTAAGTAGAAGAGATTGTAGTTCAAAGAATATAGTGACATCGTTTTATGTTTATGAAAATAAACCACCTAGAAAGATAATGGTCAGGCAGCATTTGTAACCCAAACATTTAAGGACTCATGTTCCCACTATGCACTGCATCACTCTTTTACTTCAAAGGCTGTACAGAGCATTTGCTGGGTTTAAGCAGAATGCCTGAGATTCCTAAAATCAGAAGCATCTCCCGTGTCTGTAACTGAATGGGAATTATTCTGTTCTTGATTACACCAGCAGCCCTGATTTATGCTTTTGTAAGTGAATGAATGATAAATGAATGTTTTCAAGCAGTAAAATTATGCTATAGATTATCTGCCATAAAATAACACCTTACCTTTATATACTGCCTTAGATATACTAGCACACTACAGATGACACAGAACACTATTGTGTTTTTAACTTAATTGAACAGTTGTAACTGAATAGTCATTATGCTCCTGTCTTATTTACAGGGAGTTCTCACTCATCAGAACTAAAGAGCCCTACACATGGTTTTGAGAACAATATTGACTTATATTCACCTTCATATAGGTAACTAGGATCACATGTGAATGAACTGTATGATTATAATTTTTAAAAAATCTTAAGAAAATCAGTTGATGTGATAGAGCAGTCTTTAGGCTTTTCATTAAAACAGCTGTTGCATGCTTTTATTGCATCCCTATTGATGACTTGTAATGGACTGTAGTTAATTTTAATGTTTGTTTGTTTAGCTTGCTAGAGGTTCAGCTAGCTTGAATTTTCCATTCTTTATTTGTCTCTGCAAGATAAAGGACCATGAGAAAATACTTAAATACAGTGTTTATACTTAACAGTGTTTGCAGTTGTTACGGAGAAAAACATCTGACAATGGAGTTAAGCTTTTCAAACCCCACTAAGTTTATATCTGTATTTTTTGTGTGTATATGTACAAGCAGTGTCATAGGCATATGAATTGCACAGGTATAAACCTGTTATAATGGAAATTGGGACACCCTAGATCCAGTAGTTTTCAATGTTTCAACATTGTTTATTTACAAATGTGACAGTACTCTCTGTGGAAGCTAACCTCCCATGGTGGAATCCAGAACTCTTTTGCATCAGCACTTAAGTACATGTGGGGATTACTCTAATGGAGCCTTTGGGTGTATTTGCCTTGTTCTATCAGTTTTTTGATGGAAGTCCAGTTGTTAATTCGCCTCTAGGATATTCTCATTATAGCCCAAGAGTTAAGTCTCAGCACTCTGTAAACGGTATGTGGTGAACATCTAATCTCTGTACTTTCGCTTGTTTTTCTTAGGTATCAAGACCCTCATGGAAATCCTCCATTTCCTGTTATTTCTTTTACAATGAACAGTAGTTTACCTCATGAACACTCAGGCTTTCAAAAGATGGTGAGTTTGTGTTAAAAGTTAAAAAATTGTGAGTTTTTTTATGAAGTTGAATGTATTCTGCATTTCTGCAAACAACGGTGCTTATTTCATGTCTCAAAATGTGGTTTAGGCTGCTAACTTTGACGGTTTAGGTCTGTTTATTTTAGCACTTTAAGAACAAGGGATCTACCAAACCAAACTGTTTTCTTACTGCAGGATTGTCTTAAAGGTGTATAGCTTAGAGAGGCCAAAAATGTAAAAGTCTGCAGACGGAACTCTCTCCTGTACTGCATTCCAAATCAAATCCCCTTAGTGAGACAAGCTAACCTAGTAAAATTACAACCATGCAAGCTGTGGCTTCTTCATATACAGCTAATTCAGTCAGTGAACCTCTTAGCTCTTTTACTCAATTCAGAAATGTCCAGCAGAAGTTTGAAATGTCCTAAAACCAAACCTAAAACTCACCCAACAGACCACCACTGCCCAAGTTAGGGCAACAGTTTGAGGGTTTCTGGCCTGAACCTTTACATGCCCCTGCAGTTCTCATGTTCATTATTTACTTTCATGGCAGTGGGCAGTGAGAACCCATACTGCACTCCCCTTTTAACAGCCTCTGGTGCACCGCACCGTTCTTGTCCTAATCTCTTTTGTCTGAGATACTTCACAAGGCAAGGGAACTGGTCTCTTCGGATGACAGCCTGTGGACCAAACCCTAATCACCAAACATATGGAGCTTCTGAATCTGATGAGTATGGATCGGTAGGACTGAAGAAACCCAGCATTTAATGTGCGGTATCAACTGTGAACGGTACTGCTGCCACCCAGTCTGACTGGGGAACGGCCAGCCCTTTGTAACTAGAAAGGGTGAAGTCTGCAGTCTAGGCAGGAAAATAGAGATGATCTGTTCCCTGCTGCATAAATGTGGTGGTGGTCCGACTCCCCTTTTCCCAGACTGTGCCCTCAGAAGAGCTGGTGCTTGCACAGTCTTTGTGATCTCCCCCACTGTGCTCACCCCTGAACCACTTCCTCAGTCACAATGCAGTAGGTAAACGCCAAGAGACCAAATGCAGCAGACCAGCACACACAACCGACTTAATCCCCTTTTTCTGCTTGCTACAGAGATAGTATTGCAGTAAGTCTCCAGGGATAGTTTGTTGCAGCTCCAGCAGGAAGTGATCTCATCACATGTACAACACCTTCACAAGTTACCTCATCATTACTGGGGTGAGCCAGGCAGGTTACCTACATGGAGTCTGCCTGCACATCTACTCAGACATGCTTCCCATCATTTTTCTGGTTACTGCCAGTGAGTAGAAAGCTGCTCTTTTCTGACACTTGTAATTCTATTTCTGTATTTGGGCTGTGCATTTTGTATGAGAGGGACTCTTGGGGTACCTTAGGGACTGTAGCAGTAAGCTGGCATTTACTGCATTCTTCCAAGTGCTTTGATATGTGGATTCACTATACCTTGTTGGAACACCTCGTTCCACATTAACTGTAAAATTAGTTAAACCAGGTTAAAAAAAATAGCAGCTGTGCATGTCTTTACATTAACAGTAGGCACTGCAGTTACAAGTGCTTATAAAATAGAGAGATGATGTAAGGAAGGCCACATTTGATTACCTTACACAAGGACTAACTGGCAGTTTAATCTTAAATCAGATTATGTCTCTGTTCTAACTTTGCAATGAAAAAAAGTCTACTTTCTCCAACTAAATTAGTTGATAAAATATATAAGCTTTTTCTCAAACATTCTCTGTTATTTTATAATTTATTAGTATTTTCACTGTGTAGACTGTAATGCATGCAAAATTAAACTCTTCAGAACTTGCTCTTTACAGTGTTAACTCAAGTTTCTGTTTCTTTAGATGAACTATTTTTTACCACAGCAATACACAGTACAAAGTCCAGTGGGTCAAAAGTTTCCTTGCGATAAGATGACTCCACCACTGCCTTCAAATTTATCCTTTTCTCCCTATCAGAATCAAGCTGCAAAATTTAAGTCCGCACAGAGTTCTTTTGGATTGGCCCTGCCACATTCAAGTGACTGTGAAGTGCACCAGGTGGATGAAAGCACCTCTAAAAGAAAGAGGGAACAGCAAAGTTGTGACGATGACAGTAGTATTGAGGATGACAAAACGAGGCAAAGAAAGCATGACCAAAAGTACAAGAAGCACAAAGCCAAGAAAAAGACGCATTAATACTGTGTAACTGGATTAATCTTTTAATTTGCTGGTTTTGAGAGAAATATTTCATCTTTGCACTTTATTGAAAAAGGAATGTTCAAGATTCATATTTTTTTTGAAATGTGTTATACATAAAGTATACTGATACTTTATTTAATCTCAACCTATTAAAAGAGGAAAGTACTATTTAAGGTATAGGAAAGGAAACATTTAAGAAGATAAAGTTTTCCTAGGTTTTTTCCTTCCAAGAATCTTGGAAGACTATTATTTCACTAATGTAGAAACTTTATGAAAATACATAATTTCAGCCATTTCCATCACTTATGGAATGTATTTGTGTGAATGGTGCAAGAATTTTCTGGAGCCACTGAAGAA